AACAGTTTAAATCATAAATTTGATGGTGACATTAAAAAGTTAAATCCGTTTGTTCTAATAAAAATTAAAAAAAATATATTTAAAGGTATGAGGAACATAGATGATATAAAGGAAAATATTAGGGAACATTTAGAAGATCATTGGTTGGTATGGTTTTGGAGTAAGGAAAATGAATTTCAAAATTTTGAAGATTTTAAAAGAGTATTCATGCAACAATACAAGCGTCTATACGGGAAAATTTATATTATGGTAAATACAGGGAAAATAAAAAATATGGGTTGAATAATTATGCAATTCACTTGTATGCACTTGCGCAATACTTGGAACCTCCAATTCCAGATGGGGAAATGGTGATGTTCATAGCTATGCACTTATAGGTCAGAATTAGCTGAAACTATAGCGATTCAGAATATAAAGAAATTAGATTAATTATGCAGTTATTTGACACGAGTAGAAAGAAATTTGTCCACACATAATAATAATCTTCAGGGTAACGGATACAATAATAATGGTAGCAGTTATAATAACCAGTATGTGGTAGACATGATAGTAGTAATAATTATAACAGGTAATAAATTTAATGAGTTTGATAATAATTACAAGTACAATAGGAACTTTAATAATGGTAATAACAGTTATAATCGGAATGGTATAAATAATAGTAATAGAAACTATAACAGTGGTATCAATAATTATAATAGAAACTATACCAATGGTATACATTGCAATAATAGAAACTATAACGATGGTATAAATAACAACAATTACAATAGAAAATTTAACAGTAAAAATTTTAATGACAGTAATTACAGATATAACAGCAATATAAATAGAAATAACAATGACAGAACATATAATGAAAATAGAAGAACAGAACGAAGAAATTCGGAAAGGAAAGTGCATAGAAGAGAGGATGATTGAAAATAGAAGAAAGAGCTGCAAGAAGAAGTCAATCAGAGGACAAAAGAAGTTGACCAGAAGAAAGAAGATATCAAGAAAATACCATTGAAGAAGAACAAAACAGACCCACCGAATATATGACTATCCTTTTTAGATAAGCACACACCAAAAAAACAAAATTTATGCATCTGTGCGTTAGAAAATTCTATTGAATTTATAGATTATTATAAAAATACGCATATTAATTAAAAACTTTGGATTAATTTTAATTAATGGTACAATTAATAAAATTCGAGTCAAAGTGTTCATTGATACAGGTTCGGAAACATCGCTTCTTAGTGAAAAATTTTTAAAAAGGTTAAATATTGAGGAAAATAGTATAGTAAAAAATGTCAACAATTAATTTAATAGGTACCAATTCAAAAAAATTATGTAAAATTAATAAATCAGTGTCGCTGTTACAAATGTTAATAGTGCCAACTATCGAAACGAAGGTAATAATAGGTTCAGATGAGCTAGAAAATCACAAAGCTATTATTGATTGTGGTGATAAACGAGTACAAATTGCTGGACAATGGGTAAAATTTGATAATGATTGATTAGGTGACCAAGAAAAAAAAAATTAATGTGTACAGAGAAGAAAATAAGGATTATTTAGTAGATAAAATAGAAGAAAATGTATAAGAGGAAGAAGAAGAAATTGAAAAGATTAAATAAATATAAAATTTTATTTACTAAAGAAACTAAAGTAGCGAAAAATTATGTACACAAGATTGAAGTTACAAGCGATATAAAGAAGTTTAAGGCAAAAATATGGCCAAATCCCTATAAATATAAAGATAGGGTACAAATAGCAATTGATGAGTTAATTAGAAGTAAAATTATTGAAAAAAATTGTACTCAATATGTAAGTCCAATAGTAGTTGTGATTAAAAGAAAATGGTGATCTGAAACTGTGTCTTGATGTAAGAACTATTAATAAATTTTCCAAAACTCAGTATAAAGAACCCATGTCGGTGGAGGCGATCTTGGGACGAATAACAAAAACTATCATTTTTACAAAATTAGAATTAAGACATAGTTTTTGGCTTATACCTCTCCATCAAAAGCCTGAGCTACGCTTAGAAAGAGTTAAGTGTACATCTTCTTTTCTTACAGTATTTTTTCACTCTATATTCTATGCTATTATATTTTTACTGTTCATGATGGCGGGTTTCAATGTTTTTAATGTAAAAACTTTTCGAAAAGTTTATATAAGGCACAAGAATGATGAACTCGCAAAAGTGGGATCAGAAAGCCTGTTCGCAGTACTTTAAATGTTAGTTTATAAATTTAAAAATAACTCTCATTCAGTCAGTACATCAACCAGTTTAAGTTACTGTCCAATGAAACTATGTAACATATAAAGTCTATACGTCCTAATACCTACTCAGCCCACAGACTGACATACTTTTTCACTTTTATTCTTAAATTGTGGTTGATAAGGTATTCGAGAAGTCCTCGCAGACTTGATTGATCAAAACAGTCGAAGGCGCGCATATAAATCAGCGCAAAGAATTCGATTAAGGTATTTTAAAACAAACGAAAAACGTTCCGCACGTTATTCCGCGCGTTCAGCTATTTGAATTTGTGGCCTTTTCATTTACTCGCTGCTGGTGCTTCTGCTTCTTTTTCGACAGGCCAGAGGCGTAGGTGACTAATTTATTCAAGATGCTTAAATTATTCTTATTCTATTTGACCTATAATATTCGGTACAATGATACAGAAACATTTAAAACTAATAAATATACTGATATAAAACTTTTTTAATATTATTATTTTAGTTGTTTTACATTATTTATACCTTTCTGTATTTTGCCAAAACTAATTCTAAATATTTAAATTATATTATTTTTAACTTAGAATGCAATTTGATTATATTTTCCAATTCTAGATTAAAATGTTGGTACCAGGCGAGGGACGCTTGCGCAAGATGGTATTGTCACGTTAAGCGTGATTTTTAATAAAAAATGTCACGTTTAGCGTGTTTTAAATAATTTTAAGACTATCTATGTCCTGGGGGTTGAATAACAAAATATAACACTCTGGGCCTACATAACGTAATAACTCTATAAGGGTTCTACTCTTGATGTTGAAACCTAACACGTGTCTGTAAAAGGGCTGAAGAAAACACAAAGTTTTCTCAAAACAAATATAGTATATTAAACAAAATAATACAAAATAGTTAACAGCTAGATACACACAAAAATGGGCTCTTACTTTTCACCTTTCGTCTCCTCGCCGCAGACCTACAAATGGAGCGTATTGATTATCGAATTAATCTTGGCATCGTGAATATTATATTTGATCAATGAATGGTTATATCTCTGATCACAACATTGACTGCCGAGATTTCTAGACAGAAATTTGATGTGCTAATTCGGACCAGACGGCATTTAAGCTCGTTCTCAAATCTTCAAATACCTCTATAGGTGGATATGAGAAATGCATTTATGTATACTAAGCCTATACCTTCGTCTGCGTGAGTTAAGTTTTCAAGAAAATGAAGCGACGCCCTCTATTCCGAACGTCAATGATCTCCAAATACATTCTTAAAAGTAAATTCGTAACGTCGTCGGTCGCAACCATTTTCTAATCTTTAGGGATAGTTTATTTTCCAGGTCGAAGCAAATGTATCGCTTGGGACAGATTTTACGCCGATTTATCGGCCTTATCAGGAAACCCAAATTGACCATAATTTTATACCTCTGCGTAGACCTCAGCAGTGCACTTTAACTTCACTTTCTAGATCTAGATTTTTTAGCACTCGATGCCGACACATAAAATTTTATAAATTGGGAATTTTATTTACTTGTGATGTATTAGAAATAAGGATCTTTATTGTTAAGTCAGTTACGAGGATTGTCCGATAATAACGTGGCATAACATATACTACAGGAGATGTAAAATAAGTAGTACAGAGTGAAGATAAATAAAAAGGTGTAAAAGAATGGATTGGCATGAACGTACTGCAGATGTTAGGTGACTTTTAGAAGAAAAGTACTATTTCCACAAGAGGGTGCTGTCAAGAGTGACAAATATCCCAATAAAATTTGATTTATTTTTGGTACCACATGGATCAGAGCAAGCTATCTTGACAAAGAAGAGACGAGGAAGGAAATTTTTTCAATCAGAGTGACTAATCTACGGTTGCCTACAAATTAGGGTAAAGTCGGGTAAGATGACGAATTACGAATTTCTGCTACTAGAAAAGAGAAGTCGCGACATGTGTAACTCCTTATGCTCTATTGGTTGTAAACTTTCTGTAGTATAAATGCGTAGTATCGTGGAAGAACGCTTAGTGAGTTGTGACCATCTATACTGTTTGGGTGGTACTTCATATAATTTTGGCCCGGGGCAAAATAAGTTCTAATTTTCGCAGGGTACGTTATTAATTTATTTTAATTTTATTTTTTGGTAGTAGAAACCATTATCTATGGTAGGACATGATCAATTACTAATAAGATTTTGTTAAAATTTAATTATAGATTTTTAAAATTTTATGTGCTTGTGGTCTCTAAGATGACGAACCGTTGTTGTCACTAAGATAACGAATTCGCCAACTTAGCTGCATGGCTTAATGTGTTTAAATTTTAGTATGGGGAAATATACAAGAAAAACAAATAGACAGTCATGAAGTAAGGAGAACATGAAACAAGCATTTAGAGAAGTTATTAATAACGGTTCAAGCGTAAATGGAGCGTCTAAAACCTATTCGGTTCCTGAGGCAACTCTTCAACGTTATGTAAAAAAAAGCGATGAGGTACGTAGTCTTCTATATCTTACAATCTCACCTATATGAAAAGAAAGTTTAGATTTTTGGAAAATATAAATTCACTCTAAAAAATCAAAATCTCTTTAAAAGATAAACTAACTAGGTTTTTTTCCAGAATTTTTCACAAAATGCTGATAATCAATTTTTGGAGTTAAAAAACTACTTATTAGAGTTACATAAAAGGGCATTTGGTTTAACAAAGAAACAATTTCCTTCAATTGTTTTTAACTACGCAGAAGATCATGGGATTGCACATTGATTCAATATAAATAAGAAAAAAGCTGGTAGAGCATTTTATAAAAAATTAATAAAAGATTTTAGATTTTCCTTGAGAACTCCAGAATCAACCTCGATTGCTCGCATGATGGGTTTTAACAAAGAAAACGTTAAACAGTTTTTTACGGTCTATAAAGAATTAAAATTAACACACAATTTTGCAGCTATTCGCATTTACAATTGTGATGAAACTGGAATTTCAACAGTTCCTACAAAAAATCCTAAAGTTTTAACACCAACAGGAAACAGAAGAGTCATTAAAATTTCATCGGCAGAACGAGGAATTAACGTCACAGCTTTATGTTGTATTAGTGCTGTTGGTACGTATGTTTTTCCGTTTTTAGTATTTCCAAGGGTAAGAATGCAACCTTCTTACTTAAATGGACTTCCACCAGGTTCCATTGAAGTAGCCCATCAGAGCGGTTGGATGAAGACTGAAAATTTTACAAAATTTCTTGAACATTTCATTAATCTTGTGAAATCAAAGGATAATGGATAATCATGCAACACATGTTAATTTGAAAAGTATAAATTTATGCCGCAAACATCACATTACTCGGTTTCCCACCTCATACAAGCCACAGAATGCAAACGTTAGATGTGTCTTTTTATGGCCCTCTCAAAACAGCTTACAGTATTGTATGTGACAATTTTTTAACCAACAATCCAGGGATGGCAATTACTTTACACGATATTGGTTCTTTATTTGGAAAGGCAGCAACAGTTGCAAATGCTGTGAATGGATTTAAAGCAACTGGTATGGAACCGTTCGATTCAGAAATTTTCTTTGAATTGGACTTTGCATCTGCTAAAACTACTGACACCTATCCTGATGCTACAACTTCCAATAAAGTCCAACCCCACCCACACTTGTCCAGTCAGTCAACAGCTGATATCAATAATGATGAAGAGATTTAGGAAACAATGCAAACTCCGCCATTTACTGAAATCGTTGAAAAAATGAAAGAGGACTCTAATCTGTATGAAGCTCATTCTTCTACTTCTTGTACGATACCAACCAAACAATTTTACTCAACACGACTTCCGCCATTGCCTGTTGCAGAAGTCAGAACTAAACGCAAAAGAGTTAAACTACCATCCCAAATAGAAGAGCCGAAAGTGGCAGGTACGATTCATATCTACACCGATGGTTCTAAAACAAAACAGGGTTCAGGATGCGGAATATACTCCAGATTCTTAAACCTAAACATAAAATGGGCTGTGAGCAATAGTGCCAGTGTAGTTCAAACAGAGCTAACGGGGATTCTCATAGCCGCAAAAGAAATAACCAGAAATAATATCACTGGAAGGAACATGCTCATCTATACAGATAGCAGACAAGCACTACTCACCCTGAACAGACCACGAATTTATTCAGGGTTAGTACTAGAATGTCACGAAGCTTTGGCCGAAGTATCCATCAACAAATTGGTCACCTTAAGATGGATCAAAGGTCACGCCACATCGAAAGGTAACCGTCTTGCCAATTCACTAGCCAAGAAAGCAGCCAACCAAATACTTTTTGGACCTGTACCTTCTATTGGCCTGACAAAATCTGTAGTGACAGACCTAATTAAACAACATTCCCTTGTGAAATTCAAGGAAAGATGGGATGAAACAAGAAACTGCAGAGTTGCCAGGGAGTTCTTTATTTATCCTGACAACAGTGCAGCAAAAAAATACTTGACTATGACTTGTTACGTGTGTAAATTCAATTTAACTTATCAAATAAAAAGTCACTATTTCATAATTAATTTTAATATTCAAAAGGATACAATATACTATATTTTATTGTGTACTAGGGTCCAGCCAATCTTCATCTGCAGCAGCTTCTGAAATAAATAACAAATCATATTTTATTATAATATTAGATTTAAATATAATTATTTAGCATATATTAAATTGTAAACAATGCTAAGATGATATCTTCTGTCATTTCTTCTTTTTTGATATTAATAGCCTTAGACTATATGACTGTTCCAGTAGCCAAAATATCTGGTTAGAAGCCTTTCAGGTAAAGGGTTGACAATTAGTTATGTCAAATATAATTTCTTCTTTTTTGATTTCCCGTTTTTCCCGCGTCTTGGTAAAAGAAACTTGCATTCTGCACGTGGGTGCATATTCGTTTTTGCGGATTTTAAATAAGTTTCCCAGGGAAACAAATTAGCAAATTGTTAGGTTTTCCAGGAAAACACTAATCACTTTGTGGATTCGTTGCTAATTAAGAAATTACAATACATAATTAAAATACACATTGAGGCCCCATTAGAACCGTGGTAAGTAACTAACACATCTAATTAAGTCATAAACTAAGCTTTACTAAAATATCTACCTTTTCCTTGCTTTTAGGCCTTCTATTCTTTTCTTATCTATACTTCATCTTTCAATCTACTCTACTTTGCATCACTTCTCTGGTATTAGTTGGTATCTCTCTTGCTACCTGTCTGGCTTAGGGATAAATTAAGGGCTTAATTGCATGGTTGCATGGTTAATTGTTTTACCTGCAGTGGTACCCAAGCTCCAATAGAACCTTTCTACAGTAGCTGTAAACAAATGAAGAATTGGTTAGACAACAAAATAATCAAGTAAGATTGTTCCTATCTTTTTGCATGATTCAACGAGAAGCAAAAGTAACAGAGGGTATACGATACAAGATATATCATCTACTAAATACTTAAATCAATATACATTTTAAACTTACCAACAGTGTACACCAATCGGTATCGATACGCCTTGGTATTATTTAATAACTTTTGTTTTATTTGCATAACTGCACGTTTGCTTTGTATTAGTACGCCACTGCTTATTTGGCATTGTTGCTATCGCTGTATTGTATCCTTTCCTCTATATTTTCTTATACACCCGAATAAACTCTAAACACCTAAAGGAAATATACCCAGCTGAAATAGTAAAGTGTTTATTTTATTTGAGCTAGCCTGATAATTACGAACCCAATGCTAGTTGTCTTCGTCAATACGAATTCAACGTAGCAGACTATACAGAATTTACGTGTGGTCACAGGCATTCTGACTGGTCATTGCCAAGTACGGAAGCATCTCCATATCTGCAGAGGGTGCGAACAAGAAGAAGACCATCGAGCACATCCTTTACGATTACCCGACGCTCTCATTTATTAGAAGATTTGTGTTCAGCGAGTATCGGCTAACACCGGCCGATATAAGAGAAGCACCTCTTGGCGACATTGTCAACTACATTAAATCTGTAGGCTGGCACACGATCTAGGATGTACCTATCATCTTAGGAGGATGCATAATGGGCCTAATGAGGCCTAAGTGCCGTGGGGGTAACCCACACGTTACAGATACAGATCCCTCGTTATTTCAAACACGTAAAAACTGTTTTGAAAACAAAGAAACAGGAAAAGCAAGAGAAAGAGAAACAACAAAAACTTAGGGCAGCAGCCAGGGAGGAAAAAAGCCAAAGAATTACTAAAGAAGAAGAAAAAGAAGAAGAAAAAGAAGAAGAAGAAGAAGAAGAAGAAAAAGAAGAAGAAAAAGAAGAAGAAAAAGAAGAAGAAAAAGAAGAAGAAAAAGAAGAAGAAAAAGAAGAAGAAGAGGAAGAAGAAGAGGAAGAAGAAGAGGAAGAAGAAGAAGAGGAAGAAAAAGAAAAAGAAGAAAATGGAACCAAGGAAACTGGTTAAGCGAAGAGTATTCAGTTCATCAGATTTGTCAAATTTGTCAACTGAAGTAGACTTGGTAGACACTGATGATGATGATAATAACTCTTCTGAGAGTAACAAGATATCTGATAATAAGTTATGCGTCATCTTTGATGACGAAGGAAAAGATCGGGAACTATGGTTTCAGTGTTCAAAGTATAAAAAATGGGCCCATGCCGCGTGCACTGATTTGGAAATTAAGCAAGCCAAAGGCAAGAAGTGGCTGTGTGATTTTTGTAATCGATAACTGAATTCGAACTTTGTTTAATATTTTTAAAGGATTTTGTGTTTTGTTTATTTTATTATCATAGAATATTTTTTTTTAATTTTTTCTAGATTGTTAGAGTTGCCTGTGACGCTATTTGATTTTTTCTTTTTTTATTATAAGCATCTTTTTTGAAAATATTTGTGTTATTTAAAACATCCGTCTACTTACCTACACATAAAAGTCATCTTAGCAGCAAGTGAATGTAAATTTTAGCAAAGAAGAAGTAATATTTTAAATTTTAATAATTGTAAATATATTTATAAGGTTGACAAGGTTGACATTTTATGTCAAACTATTTGTTTATATTCAGGTATAGGTTACAGAAAATCAATATATAAAATTTGAAGTATTTTCTTTTATTCTCCATGTAATCTTTACATTCAATTATTTCTTTTATATTATTATATAGGCAAAATATGAACCGTAAAACATTGTTTACAAAATTACACAAGATGTTCACTTTAGCGTACTGTCAGAAACAAAGTAATTGACAGATCGCCCTGTACTACTATCTTCGTAGAATAGAATACTTTATTTAACCTTGTTTATTAAAAAAAAAAGAAAATAAACAAATCAGGGCATGAAAGTTACAAATTATGAAACATAGTATTAACAATAAAATCAAATAAACTGGATAACATATACATAATACAATGAAATACCATAAATTCTTAAGACTTAATGATATATTGATAAAAATGACACTCCTACAAACAAAATAATTTCAATGAAACTTGAATATCAAAATTACATAATTCATGTATGTATATGAGAAAAAGTTACGGCCCAAGAATTGATCCTTGCGGAATTCCTGTACTTATATAGGATATAAATCCGATAGGTTATTATTATAAAATATATTTTGAAAGCCACTGGTGAAATGTGATTTAAAAAGCCAGTAAGTAGTACAAAAACATGCAAAATTCAGTAAATTTAGCGTCAGTGTACCCCGCAACCTATCTAACTAGAACTCCGTTCTAATTCATAACACCGAGCGAATTGCTCATCAATCTTCGAGCATTTTGGTTTCTCGAATTTCTTGTAGCTCCGAAAAAGATTGTTTCAAAATGGGCTAATAAATCACTGGTGTCACACGGGCAACAAGAAGCCACCATGGAGGTTCTACGTCGGGTGGAAGTCGCCCAAGACCATTAACCACTTTATTTTATCAGTTCTATCTCTCTCACGGACATGTCAGTCGCGATTATGAGACACTTTTCGTTATCATAATTTATTTTTAGGTGTCACTTCTTGTACATGCTTTTCAAATGATCCATCCACTCATTATTCATTCTTAATAACGTTACCTAACATCATCATTTTTGAATTTGAATAATATTATCAGCTCAAACTAACATGATTTTCAATTAACAAAGTCTGCAACAATTTAAATCACTTTTGTTTGAAAAATTCAAATCTAGTTTTAGAACTTTACTATATTTTTTTCATACACATCTTTACAGGGTGGCACAAACTTGATCGAAGAACATTTGATGGAAAATACAACTCGTCTAATGACATTTAATCGAAAATATATTTTA